TATCGAGATTACCATTGTCAAAGAAGCGTTTGTTTTCTTTTTGTATCTGTTTATTATAAAGCGTAATCAATGAATGTGCAACAATCGTTAAAATTAACATACTTTAAATCTAACAAGGACGAATGAATAATTTCAATAATCTTACTGAATTCGTTCCGATTCAACAATTCTATCTTCCGATTACCTGTGACAAAGTAACACATGCAGAAGAAGCGATCGTGTAATAGAAACCAAGGTTTACGAACCTTTCGTAACCAGCTGTCTCAACATCGACAGATATCATTTTTCCCTATTGTTGCGTTTACGATCAGATATTCCGAATAACGATCGACAGAGAAGAAGAAGAAGAAGAAGAAGAAGAAGAAGAAGAAGAAGAAGAAGAAGAGACGTTACAAGAAGAAAGAAGAAGAAAAGATGTCGTTGTAAACTAATGGATTGGATTATATAAATTATAATGTAGGTTTTACGTTGTCAGTATTACTCGTTTATCTTATTACATTTCCATTTGACGATTTTACTACTTAATGACTTCAATGTACATAGATTAGATGTCTCAGAAATCTATTTAAATAATATTAAATAGTATATTTCCAATGATTCGTAGTATTTCATTCAATTGTTCGATACGATCATCCCATTCCCACGCAATACTGATACTCGTACTCGCGATTGAAAGCGCCGATGAAAGTATTCTTTGAAAATGCGATGACTCTACGATCCGCGCCGGATCGGACGCGAATGGACGTTACGATATCGGTGAATTTCTTCTTTTATGTAAAAACGCGCACGAGAACGTTGTTCGTATTAGAATTGTGCTACAAAGGAAAACCGCTATCGTTTCGTTTCGCTGAACGCTTCAGACGCGACGGTTTCTTATTCCTCGACTCCGCGTTGGCCGTTTCTCCGTAGAACTTCCTTCCGCGCGATAATTGATTCGCTGTAGGCCTTCGAGGATGCTCGACGTTTTCACGGGAATCGATGCGTAACGGAAAGAAAAGTGAACGCTACAACGCTATCGTTATATTTACAATTCGTGATATGTGAACGTATGAATTTGATTGCTATCTCGCTTACTCGAATTTCGTCCAATTGTTTTGCGATTTAATGGCGGCCGCGTTCAGCGTTAAGCTAAATGCGTTATCGATATTGCTAGTGCTACCCTCGGATGCGTTGTTGCACACCGCGGGATTTTTGGTAGGCGAATCACCGTTACTTAAGCTAAACTTGTTAAAGTCCAGGCCGTACGCCTGCAACAGATCCAGGTCGCCGATGTTGTCCGATGACTTCAGCTGTTTGTCGCTGGTTTTGTGCAGCGGTTGGAAATACGGGTACAGCGGGTTGCTCAGCCCTTCGCCCATCTCTGGCGCGTGCAACGACTGCGTCATCTGCTTCGAACTCGGAAATTCCGCAGACTTGGACAGCAGCGGATCGAAATCGTCGCTGCTCGCCGTCGAGTCTAATCTAATTAAGTCTGGCACTTCGGAGGAGTCCTATAAAGCAATCGAATGAGAGAGCGTTGATAACGGTCCTTTCCACGCGACTATGAATTTCATTATTATTTTATTATTTGAAAAATATGCCAGCCACGAGACAGCACAACTGCGTACTTAATGACTCTTCGGAAGCGGTTACAAAATTTAAGGATTCTAATCGCGATCCCAACCAGCGTCGGTTCACGATAAGCTGTACTACGTCTACGTATAATGCGACCTCCGATCCGCGTCGCTACTCGCCGATTAGAATCCTTAATACAGATTCACAAATGGAAGATATAACGATTGATGGCGTTTACCTTTGGATGTGCAGAGCAGGGTGTGCTATTGAATGCATAGGATGAAATGTTCGAATTAACAGACAGTGACGCATTTGCGGTTTGGAAAATTGCTGTTGGTTGCAAGAAGGAAGGTGTGAACACTTTGCTCGTGTCGAACGGATCGGTGTCTTTCAAGTAGAAAGTGGATTCCGAAGGTTTCGAACGGGAATCGGATCTGTTTGGTTTCTCTATGCCCGAATGGTAACTCACGCGAATGTCGTCGGTGTAAAGTTTAACGTTCTTCGAGCAACCCCTTAAGTTATTCTTATACCGGTTCGCATCCGTGTTCTCCGGGTGCAAAGGCGTATCGTAATTGTGTTTCGCAGTGTCCTGCACGAAACGACTCTGCGCATTCTCCGCGCTCTTTGGCAGAACAGACAAGACAGGGATTTTCTCGGTTTTACCGTCGACGGTGTTGCCGGACTTCGCGATCGACGAGTTCGATGGTAACGATCTACTTACACCGGGTGGTTCGCTATTGCTAATCAACGTATCGTTCGTGTTCAACAAGGTATTCGACCGATCGGCCGATTTAATTAGGGCGGAATACGGGGCGTGATGAAACGGAGTTTTCGTGGAGAAGGTGATGATTGGTTTTGCAACATTTGTACTAGGCGGAGGACCGTGCCGCATATGCCCACTCCATGCAGGTCTCAAACTGTCTAAACTGCGTACTGGCTTCAACTGAAATTGATGCATCACACATTCTTACATTTCTTGAATACACGTGGCTCGTAAGCACGCCGACGATAATTATTAACGTGTGTACTGTAATAGTAATAATTCTATTACTTCGCGGACATACAGCGTTTCGTTTCTACTACTCTCTTCTTTCTCAAGGCAATAAAGAATCAAAGAAAATTGTTTGGGTAACATATTGGAACAGAAATATTTCGAGATAACGCATGCATTGGGTTCCGATTATCCTAATGTTCGTAACTATGCTGCTAAAGCTATTCGCTAGAACGTTACACATTGTGATAAGCAATATGTACATCTCAATTACAAATACAGACACGTTTACGAAAATAGCTCGGCACGATACTATCCGATATGGTACTCGACGGTGTATACTTACTGTTCTATCGACAGGGGGTATATTTGGAAATATTACATGACGAAGTTCCTGCATGAGGTCAATATTCACTCGTTCCGGCGGCGAATCGGATTCTTCCGGCGAACTGGGGCTCAACGGCGAATATTGTTTTCTATGGAAAGTCAAGTGACACGAATCAGACGTCGAATCTAATGGAGTAGTTTGCCGTTCTATAGGAAAACGCGGCAGTACCTGGAATCGGCGAAATTACTGTTACGTAATCGAAGGTCCTTCCGATAGCTAGTGGTGGCGGTGAAACCGTTCGGTGATTTTGGCGGCGATGTAAAGTCAATAGGCCTTCTATCCGACGTAGGGGAACTAGGCGCGGATCTCGGTTGGTGAAATCTCCAACTTGTTTCACTTCTGTTCGACCGACCTGTGAATATCACAAAGGTTAGAGACTCTGCGATATTTTCAACGGAAATAAAGAATTCTTACCTTTCCATTTTAGTCCTTTGTAAGCTGTCTTCATATCCTTTCCTTTGTCTTTAACCTGTGGAGAAATATTTAGAATATTTGTCTCCATAGTTTTTCAGTGAAACATTTTCATGAATGATGTAACCGATTATATGATATAGGTAAACACTTACCGATTTAACTGCATACTTTACTGCAGGATTGGCCTAGAATCAAAGAGAAATATTCACGTTGACATTTGGCATTCCGCGTAGAGCATGTTTCAGAAAATCAGTGAAAATCAATTACCTTATCCTTTACGCTGCGGAAAAACGCGGAACTTTCTTTCCGCATGGCATACGTCCATTCTCGATACTGTTGCATAAATTTACTGCTAGATTTGGCAGAATAGCTACAAGCTTCCATTTCGAATTCATCCGAGAAGCCAAGCCCTGAATTAAGCATGTTCAGTCTTTCTTCTATAAACTGAAATACACATATATGTATTTATTCCGAAGGTGAATCCGGCAATTATACATTGACGCCGTTACCAATTTGTACAAGAAACTTGTCCTTCTACCTGTTGAAATATTTGCAATTCCAACATTTTTCGTAAAAAAGGTTGCATGGAAGATGGTCTACTTTCTACAAATGCGTTTTGGTTAAAAGTAATACACTGTCCTTGCTCTAAAGTTAACGCGTCCCTGTATCCGGCGGTCAATTGCACCAATGCTCGTAAAAATGCCCTGGACACACCGTCTCCGAGTAGCGCGGCTCTATTACGCAATGCCTTTTTTAAATTTGTTACCTGGGACAAAGAAACTTTTTATTTTATTATTTAAGATGTGTTTGGATTCTTAAGAGTTAATTCGTTACGCCAAAGATAAAATCGAGTGTTTATACGAACTACGTCCTGAGGTAAAGACTCTAAATCTTCGAACGGGGTTTCTATAGTATTGTTATCGGCATCCAATATAACTACTTCTCCCAAGTCACTCTTCCGTACTCTCTGAACAGAAAATAATATATCTAAATGGAAATTCCGATGATCGATGAATCTTCCGTGCGAATCATTCAGGTACCTGGAGCGTTGGGATTGGTACACCAATTAAAAATGGCATCGGTGCTAATAAATAATCTATTAAAGATAACGGCAACACTGGAATATATATGTGTTGCCAAATCATTGGATAAATTAATGCGTTACATGCTTGGACGCAAGCACTTAATCTCGAAAGACGTTTCGAAGTGAAAATGATTCGTCGTTCGTACAGCATGGAAGCGAATACTATCATCATGTTTTGAGCATCGACGGCACTGTAATATTCCGTTAAATTTCTCTGAAATAATAAAACGCTTGTATACAGATTTCTCTTTACGATAGCCTAACGGATCTAAGATTGCTCACATTTTCTGGTATACTCGGTAGTTGAAACTGCTTGGGACTTTGATAAATAAAGTTCTGGAAATAAACGAATGTATAACTTGAAATGTTCCATGAGAAACGAGTCTATCGAATTACATACCACTTTTGAATTTGGTACAGGTACAGTTACAGAGCTACCAGGAATGGGAACTGTACTGTTGTACACGCTTTCTAGAAAATTCCAAAGATCTTCTCCATTGTCGCTACTCTGAATTAATGTTGCGATCTTGTTTAAAAGCCTAGATGTACACAAGATATTTTACACTTTACATAGACCCAAATTTCCTTTGCTTCGTATAAAATAATTTATTCTTATATCTAGCGAGTGAAACGAGACTAACTTGTAAAATATTTCGTGCCACGGTAATGCACTTAAAATTACTAAACCAGTGTCCGTCTTGGGATCGTGTCGACAGAATCCAAATGTCCATTTCGAATCGATGCTAGTGAGTACAAATGAAAAATGTTGCACTACCAAGCTGAAATAATAATGTATAATTATAATAATATCCACTTGAAAGTTAAAAAATATTTATATAATCTCAAGAAATATTTAATCATAGAAAACTTACTTCTCTATCTCACAGGGATACGCAAATTTAGGGACTGACTTAAGTATTTCTTCATCCGAGAAAGAACTAGGATATTTTTGGAGTATCCAAGGCGGTTTTTCTCCCAGCGGTGCTGCTACCTCACAAAAACATTCGAAGAGATGATGCACTTTGTCCCTAAAAATATCAGAAAACTTACACATACATTCTTAAGTATATTTACACGTAACAAATGAGGTTTTCTAACTTATCCAAATTAATAATTTATTACCATATTTCACATTTAACAATAAAAAAATACGATAATATTTATATTCTCTTTAGTTACAATAAATTATAATGTATCTGTGCAATAGATTCTTTAATCTTTATTCTACAATCATACAAAATGAAACCATTCACCTAACGTGTTACACGCATGCTGTGAACAATGACACAATATGCGCAACATATGCATAAAATAAATATAATTTATCTTGTTACTTATTACTTTCCAACAGTTTTTCAACGTTTAGTAAATAAAGAAAGTATTGCTTGTGACACATTAAATAGCGATTGCAAAAGGGATTCAGAAAACATGATAGTATGCCAAAGGAGAGTACTTTCACTTGTGTCATTTGTTTCGCAATGTGTACGAACAAAAACGTAAGAATATTCGCGAAACGAGTTCAGCTTAAGAGGATAAAATGATTAACGAAAGATTCACTTACCTCAATCTGGAACCCATGATAATAGTAGGAAAAAAATAAGTATTTAGCGTGTGCTTGACGTCTATACGTCATTGTATGTACGCATTACATGACAGTAACGCCTTCCATTCATGTCAATTTTAACCGTATCGTTCAGTTCGCTACCATTTGAGACTGCGATCCAGTTTTTATTCCTTTTACTTTATAAAATAGAACCACTAAACACTGTAACAGCCATCAATTCAACCGACTATAGTAACAGCAGTTAGTATCGAAAATCACGCCTACCAGACACACATTGTTTGATAATCTCGAAATTTTAAAATGTATCAACGACACGCCGTTGAAAGTACGGCTTAACGGATATACCGTACCGCTTATATTTTTAAGAATTCAGAATAGTTTCGTCGAATTTCATTCTTAAACCGATACACCACATAATCGTCATTATTTTTATTAAAATGTCACTTTATTATTCTCTTCTTTTAATTTTTTTTGCCGAGTGAATAATTTGTATTTGTAAACGCGGCTAAATAAGAAGTAAGCAACGTGGGTTTGGAAGTTCCTTTTCCTCGTGAGTGGAACACAAGTAAGGTGAAACATGGCGCTTAACCTAACCGTGAAGGTTCATCCTGTGGTTCTTTTTCAAGTTGTTGACGCTTATGAACGTCGAAAAGCCGAGTCCCATCGTGTTATTGGGACATTATTAGGTAATACGCTAAACGATAATTCAATGATAAACATAATATTGGTTCTACTATGTAAAGTTAATACATCAATTACTTTGACAGTCTTCAATGATCTCTGCTTAATATTATTTAATTGATCTCCTTAGGCACAGCTGAGAAAGGTATGGTTGAAGTAACAAATTGCTTCTGTGTACCCCATAAAGAGTCAGAAAGTCAAGTGGAAGCCGATTTGACTTATGGAATTGATTTATACGATTTAAATCATAGGGTCAATGGACAGGAAAATATTGTTGGGTGGTGGGCAACCGGGAACGAGGTAAATCACCTTGTATGATTCACATATGTTACCAAATAGTATAGAACAGTTTTAATTCTTAACAAATCTTACAGGTCACCACCCATTCTTCGGTTATACACGAATATTATGTACGCGAATGCAACAATCCTGTCCACTTGACAGTCGATACAACACTTATAAATACAACTAGAATGGCGATTAAGGCTTACGTATGTGTGCCATTAGGGGTACCTAACGGGAAACAAGGTTCCATGTTCACACCGGTGAAAGTACAGGTATATTGTCTATTATAATTGAAATGAATCCTACAATTTTATATGAAATGTAACTTTCATGGGCTTACAAAATATAATTATTTGTCATTCAGATTACTTGCTATGAACCAGAAATTGTTGGACTACAGCTTTGTTCTAAGACTCAATTACCTGCACATGCACAAATAGCTGGCATGAAAGCACGTCATGGTATAGAACCAATGATGGATCTTGCTCAAATTGCAGAAGCTAGTGCTAAACTTTCATCTATGTTGGAGCAAATACTTCAATATGTTGACGATGTACTTAATTCCAAGCAACCACCAGATAATCAAGTACTTAATTTTTTCCATTTTTTCCATGTTTTGTCAAACAAAAATGTTCGTATAATAACGATTTAATTAAAATTTTTAGGTTGGCCGCGCTCTTCTGGATATGGTACATTCCGTGCCCAAAATGTCGAGCGATCAATTCGACGAAATGTTTAATAGTAACGTAAAGGATCTACTAATGGTTGTTGCACTCTCGCAGATAATAAAAACCCAACTTCAACTCAATGAGAAACTTACATTGCTCACAACCCTATAATACAAGTCTCCCCTGGGAACTTTGTAATATAAATGTGAAAATTCTGTAATTCAATTTCTATGAATAAAGAGGTACTCCAAATTTTTAATATAATGCGCTCTTTTAATTGCAACGTGTCCGAGTATATTTTACATTAGATAAAACTATATTTCTAAATATAAAAATATTAAATACAGAAGTAAGCAAAGGAGAATAAATAAAATTTTATACATTTCAATATGTACACATAAATACACTTAACGATACTTTATATTTCACAAGCCACAGAATCTTCTTTTTGATTATCCACTAAACTAGTCCAATCAGGAACTCTGTTGGACTTTAAATAATTTTCTTTCGTTAAACATCTCAATGGAAGGTCTACAGTTCCAAAAATTGCACCTCCTAACCATGCTGTATAATTAGGTTTACTAGGTGCAGTATGAAATTTGAAAACTTGAATTTTTAACTTATCGGAATAAAGATTGCTTTTCAGTAAAGCTAGTAATTCTGATTTAAGGCGACTAATAAATCCTTTAGCCATTGTTGTGCCTCCAATTAGTATTATATTTTCAGCTAAAGGTCTTCTGATCTCTATTGGACACTATAACAAAAAGTAATATTAAATTATTGAAAGTGAAGCTGGTACAATCTTTATTTATTCCCTGTATAAACCTTACCTTGAGAATAGCATCCAAAATCATTGTAGGTATGCTCAAATTATCATTGTCTCGTTCCCACAATACTTCATATGCTTTCTCCCTAATTTCACCAGGTATAATAATATTTTTAACTCCAGGATATACAACTGCAGGAGGAGGAGTGGGAGTTTCTTCAGTTCCAAATTTAACAGACCTATCTAATGTAGTAACAAAGCATGTTCTAACTTTTATGTCTTCCACAAGTTTTTCTGTTATATTTACATTTGGAGCTGTTTCTTTTAGAGACTTCATCAAGTACCTATAAAAGTAAAACACGAGTAACATATAAATGTGTACGCATCACTCATTAAATGTATCCTATTTTAATATGAAATATTTACTCATGTACAGCTTCACCGCCTAAGGGAAGGGCCTGCCATCCTTTCAAGATTGGTATACCTTCATAAATTGGAATTAATGTAGCTTCTTTGTATCCAACATCTAATACTAAAGCCGTATTAGTGCCTAAGGTACTAATCGTTGCCAAATGAACAGACAATAACATCAAAGAACCAATCTCAAAATGTCTAAACAACACTTTAGCCAGTGTTTCTCTGAATTGGGTCGGTGTTAGAAAAGATTCCAATACTAAAATCCTAGCATCTTTTGGAGTTACCACAACGTATCTACAATTGAGGATAAGAAATTAGAAAAGCATTGTAAACACAATAAAATAGAAATGATATGTAAGCATATAAGACAATTACCTAAAAAATAAGCAATGAAGAAATTCTACAAGTAACTGATACAAGTCCTCTGTGTCCTTATAATCGTAAATCCTTCTAAGTTGTTTGGTTTCTGAACACATCACCTCTGTTCTTATTATTCCTCGTGGTGTAGCTTCATTCGCATAGCCATATCTAATTTCAAAGTATTGAATTATTAATTCTACATTAGAATACTCGTATCAATGTACACGTTGATTGATTTACTTTGTATACGCGCTTCCAATGTCAAATATAACCATTTGTTTATCCGAAGAAAATAGTACACCCTCGAAACGCCGCAACATTGTGATTAACACCAATTTTTTCCTACTCTTAGAAACTTTCAAAATATATAAGCAAAACCTAAACAAATTAGGCTAAGAAAATCTCGGAAAAAAATTGAATTATGATTAATTCGATAGATAATGAATTTTGGGTATGCTAAAGGTTAAGATAGATCACCATCCCATTTCAATATCATGAAAAATGACGCACAATACTAATGAATCAATGTATGGATGAAGAAAGTATAAAAAAATCATAAAAGCAGCGTACAAAAACTTTTTCTAATGATATTTTATTTAATGTTTCAGTTCTTTTACACGTAATGTCACAGACGTAATACATAGACTTGAAATACAGACAGACTGTGCATACAATGTATTTTTCTGCTACTGTTCTGTAATACCGACACTGTTAAAAACGTTTCGATGCATTGACAACAGACTCTACTTGAATCGAACGGTCAACTATTGAACTACATAAGACTGCAACATGAAAAATGTGCGCTTAGGTAAGTCTGTAGAAATTTGAAATCTGTAGCGGAAGCAATATTATCTTTCGGATTCAGTAAAAGTATAAAAGATAAATTTAATTCACAATAAATACACGATAATTTTTATTTATTCGAAAAATACAAGGAGAGTTATAGACATGCCTTCTTAAACAATCATTTCGAGTTCTCTTGCATAATCTATAGCTAATGTAGCCAAATCTGAGCTGGGTATTGGTTCTTCAGCTTTCTTTTCATTATTAGTCGCGAAGTAGAAATAACCATCCTTGGCCATATTCCAATTCTTTTTTGCTGCAAATGCTTTCATATCCTTCTCTGAATTTAGGTTGAGCATTCTTGAGGCATCTTGGATTGAAATTTTGTCATATGCACTTTCCATACACGCACCAATCTCATCACGAACAGTATTTAATAAAATGTCTATGAAGAAATTATATGACACTGCTGGTACATTGCCTTTTGCTAAGAATATTTTATTATACGATCCTTCCATTAAATATTGTTCCAAACTTAAAGGATGTCTAATGTACACATTAGACTGTATTTGATCCGAAGGCAGTAGTTCCAATTCCGTGTGAAATTCAGCAACTCGATTTTGTGACAATAGAAAGAGCAGATTCAACCCAAGGAGATGATATTTATACGCAGATTCCATAAGATCTGACTTATAATCAAAATAATAACATTTCAATTGTGCCATGTAACGTTCAAAAGAAGGTATATCTTCTGTAACTACGCTCCATTGAGCACCAATTTCTAAAATATCACCTGTCATTGTAGGAAAATTAATATATAGTATTAACCATAAAACCAGCTATTTGGATATATGTATATATACATATTTAATACAATACATACGAGCTATGAGTAATTCATTTTGACTTGCAGTGTTGTTCGATGTTGGAAGAAACATCAAATGAGTAAGGCCAACCTGTAAAAATTAATTATGCCATTAAATTTCTAGTAGATAACAATTATTTCGTAAACAAAAACATTCAGTATTAATCCAATACTATGTGATAAATTTTGTCTTCACATCACGATGACAAATCATATTGACGATCCGAAGAGGTTATGCTGTTTGTATGTTCAACAATGACATTGCTTTTTGATATTATAAAAATTCAATAGCAATTTTCATACACTACCTTTAATTGATTGAGTAATTCGCCGCATTTCTTAAAGTTGCACGGTGTTGCTGTCCATTCTGCCTTTAAATTTTTGTATAAAGAAACAACATCCTTCAGCGCCATTTTTACAAACACAAACGATAGTCATACCACAGTAATGACACTGAAATAAAGTGAGCATAAATATGAATTGCACATAAAGAACATAATTGTAGACTTACAGTGGAAAGTGAATTTATTTGGCACTTCAAAAACTATTGATAAATTTCATTAATTTAAATCAATTTTATTGAATGGATTCATAAGAAATGTATATTCATGTGAACCAGACTTAACACACCAGATTTTCAATAAAAAAATCGAAACTAAAAATTAAATAATTAATTATTTCTTCTTAAAGGGAATGATTATTTCATTTAAATATTTTTTATAATTATTTTGCCTAGCATTGTTACTTTGAAGAATAGAGAATAAACAATCGTCATTTACATGACGATACGATACTCATTCATTTTATAAATTTGAATTAGATAAGATGAAAGATATTTTGTTAGAATGTATCCTACAGTCTAATCCGAATGAAAATTCTGAGAAATGCCTCTCAATTGTTTAAATAATAAAAATAAAGTGCAAGGTTTGCCTAATACTATTGTTTAACTATGCATGATCTTGATACTACGATCGTTCAAAACCTATAAATTTTTTTCAGCGTGTAGCGTAAAACACGTGTATTGAATTGATTGGAAAATTGAAAAATGACATCAGAAATACAGTGGCAGAAAAATTTGTATGAGAATTATGGATTTCCAGACAATTATACGGACAGTTCATTTTTGAAACAGCTACGGAAAAACATAAAGCCAAATAATGTCACGATAATTGAAGCGATCACTTTTGGTGCCACTATATGTATTCAATTAAATATCGTAGTTTTCTTTGTTATTATATTTATTTGGCTAAACAAAGAGTGGACCACGCCAAACGTTATATTTGTATCAACCGTAGTTTTATCTGTATTAGGTTACCTTATGTACTGTCTAAAAGAACCGAACACTTTAAACAAATTAACAAAAGACTTTAGAACAGTGTTAATCTTTCTTACATTCGGTTACATTTTATCACCAGTTTTGAAGACTTTAACTGAAACGATCAGTACCGATACAATTTATGTCATGACAATACTGATGTTTCTAACGCATTTAATATTCAGTAAATATGGCTCCCTGCAAATTTCTTTGTCCGAATCTTTGTCAATAACGTCTTCAATTTTTGGTTCATTAATGTTGGCTTCTAGATTGGCATCTCCACTGCATGCTTTCTCACTTCTTACAGTTGCAATGCAATGTTTTGTTTTGTTACCATTCTTAATATATAAATTAAGTAACAAAATACTTATTTCGAGTATCTCAACTTTCTGTACTGTATATTTTCTTTTATTCATTTCACAAACGATCTCCTATGTTTTCATTGTATCCATAGTTTTTGTTCATTTTGTATGTCCTTATTGGTATGTACAGTGTCAGAGATACAAGGACAATATTTATGGTCCTTGGGACGAAGCTGTTATCACTTCTTAGAACCCGTATTATAAATAAATTGTAAATATATTTCATGGTACATGATTAAATGATACAACTTACGAAGGATTTCTTATTAAAATGACAACATTTACTTAATTTATTAATAATAGATCCCACAATTAATATAGTAACAGAATAAAACTGTGGAAGAATATTTTCATGTATTATTGGATCCAACAAAAATATTACAAATGCGATCAACAAACATTATTTTAACTATTCAATTGTAATCTGTGAATTTTAATTCATAAAAATAGGTGAGTATCCGTTTGGCAAAATACTTTGTAAGTACTCGAAAATAAACAATTGAAAATTATACTGAAACCATTAAGTTCTGATCAGTCAAATTCAAGTTCTTTAATAAATACTGTTCATGTGATTTTCGATAGACGTTCGTAAATATACATGGACATATGAAAAAATATGCTCTTGTACATTCGAATCGTTGTGCAGAAATATGAATTTACTGTACAATTATAAATTGTAATAATCTTTTAATTCTCCTCACAAGTGCTTCGATGAAGCTGTGATCGACCGTTGCATATTCACTATGTGTATCTAACAACTGTGTAATAAAACTGTCCGTAAAAGTAGAAACAAGGCCTTGCTTGAGTTCCATCAGCGTCTCTGACGATACTTTCCATGTGACCATATCTTCGTCTATGCCTCCCGATGATACTGGTAAACAAAGGAACATAACATTAGTCTACTAATCACAATTATTACGAGCTACGGTTTATAAGCAGTGGATCGATCACAAGTAACCGTTATATTTCAGTGGAACAAAAAATACCGATTACCTTGCATCCGACTATGTCGCGATATGACCTGTATCATATAAAAGTCCAAATGACTCCAGAGAATGTACAAAGCATGTTCAATGATCAGAGAACAGTATTTAATGGTTTGACGTTTCTCTTTCACCCAGCGATTCAATCGCTGTTCCACTATTACCCTCTGCTTCCGCACAGCTAGTTCCGCTTCTTCCTCGGACATGTATTCCTTCAGCTCTGTAGTACTCATTTCCGTCACCATCGCGACCTTTTTTATAAGAGCTTCTATATGTGGCAGTTCGGAGTGTAATAAATTCGTTACGGAAACAAGTTGATCGACGATCGTTCCTAGATGCACGCCACCGGAACTATCTTTCAGCTTGTCTTCGCTGCCCCCCGGTTTTGGAGTTAGGTGCGGCTCGAACAGCACGTTGCGTATCTTCTGATCCATTCTGCTGTGCTGCATTTGATTGCGCGTGTACAACATAATGTTAGCGACGATCTGCACGCAGGACATGTGCTGTTGGTTCGCGTCCGTTTCTTCGTGGCTCAAGCGAACCGGTGCCAGCTGCAACTGAAATTTACACAACAAAGAGAGCATCAACCTCTGCAGACGATAGAGGTGCGCGCGAAGTTCCCTCATGCCAGTAGTGTCTTCCAACTTCCGGTCGTCGAAATCCGTCTTCGCCAATTCCTCGTCCACCAATTTATACATGTCGATGTTCGCCGATCTGGATATCACGCCGGTGAGACACGCGATCTCTTTCAGGAACAGACGATTCGCTTTGGGGAAGGCGTTCCGCAGGACCATTTCTATGGTGTCCCGGTGGCTCTGCAGGAATCCGCAAACTTGTATGGCGCAAGACTGGTTCTCCGTCCCCAAGGTGGTGAGCAGAGCGTCGCACAGATACAAAGCTGGCAAGAAGATCTGCTGGTAACGTTGGCCGATAGAGGGTATGAAAGAGTAGTCGCCTCCTTCGAATCCGATGTGCACGTCGGGATGTTGATCGAAAACGACCATGCTCGACATGCACGAGAGAATTTTATTTTCTAAGAGGCTCTCGGCGCCGAGCCTCGTCGAAGCCATTCTACAAAATGTCGCCATTTTCGCTTCGTACAGGTACAGCGGTCGTAACGTTTGCGGCTCTGGCTGTAACATGCAGCGTAACATGTTGTCGGATTCCAAGAGGCTGTCTATCATGTGCTTCAGGTAGCCCCTACTGGTCAAATAGAGTATCCAAGCGTTGTCGTAGTCCAACTCCAAAATCTTGTCCAAGCAGGAGAGCGCCAGCATTTTGCAGACGTCGTGGCCGCCGGAACAATTGTGGCACAGGATGTCCATTAATTTGTTCCCGAAACTGTTTATCACTTGTATCGTTGCGTACCGATGGGAACGTTCTTGTACCGGCATCACTCTGTTCACCGTGCTATCCAACTGACTAACGTACATCGTGTCTATGATGTTCGTGCTTTCCGACTTCTCCAATCCTACCACGCAGAGGAAGTTCAACAGAGCCGCGTACAGATGCGTGATCACTTTCTGAGAGGAAGCGCCAGCGTTCAGGATCCACTGCAATATGTGGCTCAGGATGATCTTCATCATCGTCGTGTTCGAGGGCGACGACGGGAAGGACTCGCTGTCCGCCTGCGTGATGAAGCTGTTCCGCAGATTGACCAGCAACATCAGCACCGTGCCAGACACCAGCGTCTTGATCTCGCTCAAAGCTTCGCAGGACGTCATTTTCTGCAGCAAGTCGTGGGTCAGATTCAACAGCAAATTCTGCTTCTGCGGCGTGGGCAACTGTTGATTGGTAGCCACGCAGAAGAGTATCTCCGTGGTTTGGCACCAGCCTTCGACGAATTTCACAGTGGCGTACGACAGCAACTTCGTTTGGTTCCTCTTCAAAGCGTGGGTTAAAATGTTCTGGACTTCTTGCTGCATCAGATTACGCTGGGTCGCGGTCGCGCTATTCTGCGTGACAGCCAGCTCCTCCGTGATGAGAGAATGTAATTTCCTAATGTCTATGAGACGGGGACCTCCTATCAGAGCAACAGGAACGCTACAACGGCCCAGCACCATCTCGACCTGAGACGGGTCGAAGAAATCCAGCGACAGCGCTGGCTCCAACTGAAGCTGAAACTCGATGTAGTGCAACAGGTCCATTAGAAGCTTTTGCGAGGGCACTACTTGTCCTTCTTCTTGGCCAAAGTCTCCCATTAGCCGCTGAACCAGAGAGCTTTGCAGCCTCCCGCCGGCGACACGCAATTCGATCGCAGCTATCTTCAGTAGCCAGGACATGCAGCCGAGCTCCGTTGCTGTATTTTGACCCTCGAACGGCATCTTCGATAGGTGTCTTTGCACGAAGTCCTGATTCGAGCTGATACGTAAAAATCTTAGTACCGGAACCGAAGTCTTATTATTCGCCGTCAACGTGTGCAGGAAACAGTAACAAGCTTCTGTGATCTTGTCGCGGCCGCGCTCGAGGGACTGTTCCAAAATTCCCAATATAGAGTGCAAGCACGTCCGTGGAAATCCGAGGAAACCCGGTTGCAACAGCATCGTCTTCCGTATGTCCTTCGTGATCTCGAATCCGAGCAAATAGTGAGAGATGTTCGGCGTTGGTCGCGTAATGCTCTGCATCATCAACAGTAGAATTCGTTCCTTACAGTTGCCGGCGTACTGTTTCTCGCTGGAATCGACGTCTTCGTCGAGAGTGATGTCCGTATCCAGACACTCGACGAATCCGTGCCTAATATTGGTAGCCAGGGCAGGAGTCGCTGTAAAAGTGGAGAGCAACTCGGAATCTGCTCCTGGTTCGTTCGTCACCTCGTGAATAACGCCGACCGCGTGGAACGCGTGCTGGGGGAGCCAGGAACTGTAAGAGACGTACTTAGCGACGTTTATCATGTAGTCGGGTTTCTTCGATTGCGGATCCACTTCTAGCAGTAATCTCGACAGCCCGGTTAAAAGTTTGTGCACCGACTTCGCGGCTATTAATTGCGCCATATAACTGTGCTGCGTTTTCAAACCTCTCTCCAATATTTCCAGGCAATATAAACAGCCGTTCTCGAGATTCTTCTTACCCGGGAAAGATTCGTAGGTGTCGAAGTTGGAGCAACCTTTGTCCAGGATGTACAGTATCACGTGCAGAAGCTCCGACTTGGAATGCAACTGAGTCATTATATGGTATCCCGGCGCAGAATTGACTACCGTAGTCTCTCCACTTTGAAGTTCCACCTTGCATCCAGTGAAATCCTCTACGGTTGGTTCGTACTGCTTGATGAGCTTCGAGAAAATCTTCAGACAACCTTCGGCGACTATCCACTTCTCCGCCAAATTCTTATACGACCGCGTGTGAAACTTGAGGAAAATCGTATTGATGATGAAATGCAGATACGGATCGAAACCAGGATTACGGTGACCCATTCCCAGCAATCGTGGTATCGGGAAATCGGTGAGAACGTCTAGAAGCTCCAGCATCGCTCGTGTCAACGGATACTCGTCCTTCTTCGACTCGATCTCTTCCAATTCGGTCTGAACTCCTCTTGGCTGGTAGCTACTTATGGTTGGTATCGTTGAAAGTATTTGCGCGGCTTCCAAACTCTGCCAGACGGTCGAGGAACTCTCGGGTGATCTTGCCAACGCGGCGAGAGTTCTTATCAGTACACCTTTCAACGGAATCGATATGCTGCAACTGACTAAACCGATCAAAGATGGTAACACTTTCCATCCTGGGTGATCGCATATCGCTATTCTCGACATTTCGTCGTTCTTCGCGATCACTTGAACCACCAACAGCACCGCCTCGAGTCCTTTCACCTCGTCCGGAGTGATGCCTTTTGGATGGCTCCTCTGACGATAAACGGTGTCTTGACTGGGAGGCAATTCTTTCCTGAGATTGATGTAATACTCGCTCAAGGACTTGAAGAAGTGGTTCCACGAGATTCCTGTTGATCCTGAAGTCCCTAGGGAGAATATTTGCGAGAAGAATATTATTCGAACTGTTTTATTTATAATAAAAAAACAAAGTATTAAATGAAACAACAATTACCATTTGGCTTAAGAAAGTTGAACGCTTGCCTCGCTGCTTGCGAAGAAGATGCAAGAGAGGCTATCATTTTAAGATACGGTACGAATAGACCTGCTGGCAATATTTCTCCGGCAAGCCGTACAAATTTAAATAGCGCAACTTGTCTAGACGGGAAACGATTCATGTATATAGGAGCAGATACGTGCGTAGAGTCAGAATGGTGACACCAATAATCCATGACCAAATCCAACTTCAGAGGATCCTCTTTGTATAACTCCGCCACTGTCAGCATTAAATACTCAAAGTGATTATCTAAATTTAATGGCGGTTCAATCCCCTCTTGTTGATACGCTTGTATCAAGCGCATAGATTCGCCTGCTCGGCTTCGTAAATCTTTCACTTTTAAAGGCATCAATAATATGAAATCGGACACAAGAGTATGAAAATAACGAATGTAAAATTCCTCGTAGTAGACGCTTTTGTTTTTAAATAGTACTTCAGCCATAAAATGGAAACATTTATTGGACAAAGCCGCTTCCAGCAGTCTTTCGTCTTCATTTGTAATGTTCAACGGTTGCGAATTCACCGCAGTTTTAATTGTTGTTAGAGCAACTGCAAATGCGAATTGTACAACTCCCCGCAAACCAGCGCTCTCCCAAGTAATGTTGGATGATAATAATTTCTGACTGAACTCCTCTCGTGCACTGGTGTTCATGATCAATGGCATTGAACTTATCAGTTCTGGAAAAAATGTATTTTTTCAGTATACTGTAGCATAAGAAAAAGTTAATACCTATTTAAAGACCATGCGTCGCACCTTCTCCGTTCTCGCGGCTATGCAATGAACTAAAGTTGATTGCATTTAATACGCTCATTATAAGGGCGAGAGTAACTTTATCTAGCCCTTCTTCGCGCATTTCAGATTCCACGGGTCTTGCTTGGAGAAATGACAACAAACGGAGTAAAATATCATTTGGCAGTGAAGACTGAGCAGACCATAAATATAAAATATCAGCCAAGTCTTGCCTGGAGTCGTTATAAAGTTTCATAACCATGTAACGATGCTTTGGTCCACCCAGTGCACGATTTTTTTCTAGTAATTCTTGCTCCTGTCAACAAGAATGTAACAAATTACGAATTAAAAAAATGAATATGCGTGTACATAAAGTTTGAGATAAATACCTTTACAGGATTCATTTGTTCTAACAAAGACAAAATTCTATCCAGTAAATTATCTTCTTCCAATTTATTTGTATATTCTGTAATGTGTCTCAAGAGAACAGTGGGTGCATCGATTTTCCAACTATGACCCATTCTAGCTTGTATAAGCATTCTTAGAGTCGACGTAAGTGCTTTCTTTCCATCGTAGTATAATAAAATTGCTGTTAATCCCCGAGGTAAGCCAGGATGGTGAGGCATTTGTAACTGTGCAGTGCATAAAAGATCAAGCGCCATAAATTCATTGAGATCATACATGTCTGATATTATCAATGTTTCATCCACTAGCTCTTTTGATAATAACTGGTACCCTAAACCGGGAAGGGTAATGCCCTCTGTCGCTCCTTTCTTTATTTCTTCTCGACTGTTTACATTGGAAGGCTGCAATAGAATAAGTCTTAAAGTACATAATATATCTAATCGTGTCGTCTGTATTATACAGTATCAATTATTCAATATTATAAAATCACGTACAGGATTTTTTAGAAGTGTCAGGAAATTTTGTCTATGATTTCGCAATGCTTCTGTGAATTCATGATATTGAAGATCATGAGTGGTTGGAGAAGATGTAATGTATCGTTCTACTAGACTATGCAATTCTTTGTATGGAGTCCACATGTCCTCCGTTGTTGTTTTTTCTGCAATGTACGTATAAGAAATAACAATTCAAGTTAAAAATATAGTGAACATAAAGCAAATGCATCATGATATTCGGCATGTTGGAGGTTAGATTTTTCAACTAAGATTCTGTAAGCAAGTATTTACATAAATAAAGAATTACCTTCGGACATGTTTTTGTAATGAATGCAACGTTACGAGGACACAAAATTATCAGGAGAAAACGTTGTACTTAAATGTAATGGAATTAATGAAATTTCGTGCAACATAATACAAACACCGGTCCTTAGGCGGGAACGGCGTATTTCTTAATCGCCATAGGGTATCGAATAATATTACGCGACGTTACATGTCTAAATGAACATATTGCCAGGTTTTATTTTATAACATAAACACTCAGAGGGCGCATAAAATCATAAATTCTTTCTGGTCTGCCTTATCAATTTTCAAATGTCAAAATATTTGTTAGTTTCACACAAGAATATAATAATGTTCTTTCTAATATAAAAATTCATATCCTGCAGTTCACTACTATTAAATAGAATACTTATTCATTATTAGCATTTTGTAATTTGTCTTTATTGTGGCACGTATCTTAATTTATTAACGCCCAATGCTTCATTTTGACATTTTCATTTATGTTTTAATTATGCGTTAACATATCTTGCAATAAGAAAATGTCGTTTATCGTATAAATCAATTTTCCAAAATTAATGAAAACAAATATTTTAGTGATAACGAGTTAAAAACAATATGAACATTCAATGTGCAGCTTTTCAGTATAAGGTGGCATAACTAGCAACACCTTCCAATCTATGCTTTTTTCTTTGGAGTTGCAATGTGCCTGAGTTAGTAATCATTTAAATGATATTGTTATTTTATTACGTTTCTTGTATTGTTGTAAGATTTATGAACTTGTAAGTTGAGATTACGATCTACCTAATAGTCAGAAAACTATACGAATGTACAATGCAGAACGTGAAAACACGTGAATCAAAATACACGTATGTTGCCGGCCGGTAATTTTGTATACGTGGTCAGTTTTCTGATAGACGACATCATTTTTCTCGTTGTTTATTTTTTGAGCATGTAACTGCTACGTGTTATGCGGATAGCATGATCATTGCTAGATTGTTTAATCTTCTAGTTGACAAATATTTAATATTTTCTTTTTTCTCTTGTTTACTTTTATAAAGGATCATAACCTAATATTAAATAACAAATGCCATGTGCGATATATGTTTTGAACTTTTGTCTATAATATTTTGTAAGTATTATTTACATAGAAGATACATTTCACGCTTCTCCATTGTTTGTTTTCAGCATGTGAGGCAATTGTAATTTTATTGTGAACCTTAACAACGAAATATAATAAAATAAGTGATGAGTTTATATTTTTTCTTCTTTGCACAGATAAAATTGTAAACTGAGTGTTTGAATAATTAAAAAGTATTATTCATAAGCCTAATAAATATGGGTACATTAACGAAGACAAGAGGTCTGCGGATGTCTGCACAGAAACAGGAAACTCTTTTAAAGTTAACTGTGTTGTCTCTTGCAGCAATTTTATGTAAGTATTCTGAATCAATACATAGTCGACAATATAATCATAGAAAACATTTGATTACAGCATTTGCAACAAGATTATTCTCTGTCTTAAGATTCGAGAGTGTCATTCATGAATTTGATCCATATTTCAATTATCGCACAACAAAGTATTTAGCTGAAAATGGATTTTATAGTTTTCATAATTGGTTCGATGATCGTGTTTGGTATCCTCTTGGCAGGATAATTGGAGGTAATGAACTCAATATAATTATATTATTTAATGTAGCTAAAGAAATTGTTGCTAATTTGTTATTATTTCACAGGAACCATATATCCAGGTTTAATGATAACATCCGCAGCAATATATCGTATTTTATGGTTATTGAATATTACTTTAGATATACGTACTATTTGTGTCTTCCTGGCTCCATTATTTTCTAGTTTAACAACAATTATAACTTATATGCTCACTAAAGAATTGAAGGTAATTTTTTTCTACACTGCACTCAGACTATTAATGTGATCATGAAAAATGTATTTTACACTACTTTATTCTTTTTTCGAGGATTCTGCGTCAGGATTATTCGCCGCAGCTATGATAGCAATTGTTCCTGGTTATATATCGCGATCTGTGGCGGGCTCTTATGATAACGAGGGTATAGCCATTTTTTGTATGCTGTTTACCTATTACATGTGGATAAAAGCAGTTAAAACAGGAGCGATTTGTTGGGCGACTTGTGCTGCTCTCGCGTATTTTTACATGGTGTCTTCCTGGGGTGGCTACGTGTTCTTAATTAATCTTATTCCTCTGCACGTGTTAACTTTGATGGTGACAGGCAGATTTTCACACAGGATATATGTTGCATACAGCATTCTCTATTGCATAGGAACAATTCTATCTATGCAAATATCATTTGTTGGTTTTCAACCTGTTCAGAGTTCTGAACACATGCTTGTAAGTGCCAACTGTAATTATGTTAAATTTCCGAATTAATTGTCATTAAGGAAATTATGCTCACTTCTCTTCACAGGCATTAGGAGTTTTCGGACTTTGTCAAATTCATGCGCTAGTTGATTATTTGCGTAGCAAAATGTCACAGGATGACTTTGAAGTACTTTTCCGTGGTCTTGTTATCTCCATAGTTAGTATTTCATTCGTTTTGGGGATTATTTTAACTATTACAGGTATTTATACGCGAATGGAAGGTTTTTAAAATTGTAATAATTGTAATATTTAAAGCTTAATTCTTTTAAGGTAAAATATCTCCATGGACTGGACGTTTTTACTCTCTGTTGGATCCGTCTTACGCAAAGAATCACATACCAATAATTGCTTCTGTTTCTGAACATCAGCCAACGTCGTGGAGTTCATTTTATTTTGATCTGCAAATTTTGGTATTTCTATTTCCTTCGGGATTGTATTTCTGCTTCTCAAAGTTAACAGATTCTAACATTTTCCTTATTTTATATGGAGTCACAAGTTTATATTTCGCCGTGAGTATATCTTAATGTAAAACTCTCTTTATCGCGCACGTGATAGGTCGTGTTTGAATGCCTTTTAAAATGCGCAGGGTGTAATGGTCCGTCTAATGTTAGTTCTTGCTCCCGTGATGTGTATTTTGGGTGGAATCGGAGCATCCTCTTTGCTCGTTACTTACATGAAACAATTAGATGGTACAAAGGTTACTGACAAGAAATCCAAAAAATTCGAAAGCAATTACATACTGAAAAGCAAGGTGATTCAAATGATTGTTATTAATCGCATCGTTGGAAAATTCAAGCGTTACAACGTGTAACAATTAATTTTCAGATTGCTACACTTTTCATAACAGTAATGTGCATTCTCTTCTTTTCGTACACCATCCATTGCACGTGGGTTACAGCGGAAGCTTATAGTTCACCCAGCATTGTATTGTCGGCGCGGTCTCCTGACGGTGGACGAATGATTTTCGATGATTTTAGAGAGGCATATTATTGGCTGCGCATGAACACACCAGAAGTAATTCACTACGTTTCAAATAATTGGATAAGTAGCTTAAAATGCAAATGTGAATTATAATTTCTTTAAATGTAGAATGCCAAGGTAATGTCTTGGTGGGACTACGGATATCAAATTACTGCAATGGCGAACCGTACAATTTTAGTAGACAATAATACATGGAACAATACCCACATATCACGAGTCGGTCAAGCAATGGCGAGTTCCGAGGAGAAAGCTTATGAGATAATGAGAGAACTAGACGTTAATTACGTTCTTGTAATTTTCGGAGGACTTACAGGATATTCATCAGATGGTGATTAAGAACCTTCAATAAAAGTGAATTTTGCGTGCATTGTGTTTGCGAAGCATCTCCACGTTATATGAAATCCGTATTTATTCGTATTACAGATATAAACAAGTTCCTATGGATGGTGCGCATCGGTGGAAGCACTGAAAAGGGCAAATCTATCACTGAATGGGATTATTATAATTCTGCAGGGGAGTTCAGAGTTGACAAAGAAGGTTCTCCAATTTTGCTCAATTGTCTTATGTACAAAATGTGTTACTATAGATTTGGTCAAGTCTATACCGAAGGAGGTAAGTGTCTCTTCAATTCTCTACATCATGTTTCTCAAGCTTGACGCTCACTTTAAATTTCGTAACGTAAAATTGTCAAACAGGTAAACCGTCGGGGTACGATAGAGTTAGGAATATGGAAATTGGCAATAAAGATTTTGAATTGGACATGTTAGAAGAAGCTTATACAACGGAACATTGGCTGGTACGGATTTATAAGGTGAAGGATTTAAGAAATAGAGGAAATTAAAAACTGTGGAATAGCAAAACACGGAAGTAGCCACCACTTTGTAAACTACATCATAATCTCGCTCGCTTATAAGTTTTGTAATTTTTTGAGATACGAATGTGGCGCTAAATACAGAAATACACATTGAAAATTACATAGAAGCCATTGCGGAAAATGTATTCAGGCCTCCTCATAAACATTAATTTAGTAAATATATTTATCGATTTGTACGGTGCTTCAGTCTTAGAAGTCTGTGTTCCATTATTAAAAATGAATATATTTTATGCAAATTTATTAGTACCAATCAGTCTTGATAAATGTTTTTATAGAAATATATATACATTATCTTTTTTTAATTTTATAATGTATAAAGAAAATACTCGTTTCTTTTTCATATTGTAAATTAATCGCACTGGAATTCAATCCACGAGGTAATAATAGCTTTATAGTGTAGGAATTATATTTGCACTAAAAGAAGATCAGTTAACCTTTGTAATCGAAACGGTACATTATAAGCTTAAATACTGCAGCATCATCTGTGCGTTTAAGCAGCATTATACGGAGCGTGGAAGAAAATACCAATCGCTCTTAGGTTATTGGTGATGCATGTATGCGTTGATGAGAGGGAGGAGGGGGGGAGACCTTCTAAGGGTGGTCCAGTCAACTATAGTAAATAATGACACTTCCCCCAGTATAATTAGAGAAAAACATATTTTTCCAATGATGTTTTTTCTAATTACACTGAAAATAGTTGGGATTTGTTATAGTTATATGAATCCCTCAGATATGCCATCTCAATGTTCACAAGTTGTGTAAATGCATATTCATAATATGCGTTTCTTGAAAATGTAATTAGCATCACCATCCATGTTTTGAATGT